CCTGCTGAATGGCTTTTTTTCCCCCTCCTGCCTGGTTGTACTTCCTGTGGCACAGAAGGCCCCCACCTTCTGGGGACAAATCCTCAGACTGGAAAAGGGACGAGTGTAGTTCTGGTCAGGTCAGCCTGTGAAGGGTGGGGCTGCTTGTTTCGCTGGGCTGATGAGCGGAGTTTAATGCTTGTCTGAAGAAAGCCCCCCTTGGAAGTGAACAGCACAGCAGCAAAGTAGAAAGGCAGTTGGCTGCAGGAGAACTGGTGTTTCATGTCAGTGTTGGCTGGCTGGCTTGGAATGAATGTGGTGACTTGATTTTCTGCATGGCAGTACTGCACCTTTACCTGATGGTTCTCTCTTTTTTTTTTTTTTTTCTCACAGTATGATGGCATCATCCTTCCTGGTAAATGAGCAGTTCCTGTTACCTAAAAAAGCAAATAAAATTTTCTAACCCCTAACTTCTGTTGTGATTTTTGTGGGGGCTCCTCAATGGGAAGCCAGGGGAAATGGTGCTCATAAAAAATAAAGCCAGAACGTGGCTGAGGGTTGTCTAATAAGCAAGTGTGATGGAACTGGGTGGAAAGGGCTGAGGGGATGGGCAAGGCCCACCACAGTGGTGGCAGTGCCCGGGGATTGATGAGGCTCCCGAGATTCAAACATGGTGCCACAAGAGAGGGCTGAGATCAGCCAGCAGAAGCCCCCGATCCACGCTGCTTCTGTGGGCAGTGTGTGACCTCGAGTGCCTGTACCTGCAGCTGGTGGAGTTGTTCCTGCCCCACAGATCGTGGCCCTCTTGATGTGCTCTAGAAATCTTGGAGCAATTGTTGGATGTGCTTGAGTGGTAGAGAATAAATGTTGACTGGTTCATTAAACTGTTTCAGGAGTGTGAACTTAAGAGTGCTGTAATTACACAGCCAGACAGTCTTTCCCTGCAAAGAAATGGCCTTTATTGTTTAAAGAGAAAATTTCCTGCAGGACAATACAGCTCACACAAGTGGAGTTCAGCAACACCCTTACTTCTGCTTCTAGTGCTTAGTCCTCTTCTGCATCTTACAGTAAAAAATAATTTAAAAATGAAGGAACAAACTCACTTCCAGCAGTGATTGTGCAGCGTTATCTGAAAGACTAGACCATTCCTTTGTCAAGCCTGTTTTGGAGTTGTAAACCTCTTGCTTCCTGCTTGTCACAGGTTATCGCTGCTCTGGAGCTGTATCTTGGACCTGCTGGGGCAGGGTTTGGGGTGCGGTGGTGTGGTTTGTACTGATGGACTCAGCCCAAGAGCCTGAGCCCGTTCTGCAGCACTGTGAGGGGGTCTGCAGTCCCTGTGCCCTCTGAAAGGGCAGCTGGGGTTTTAATAAAGACTGGTAGTGGTCTCGCTCAGGTGCAGTGACAGGGAGGGACCCCAGGCACTGAGTAAGTGCTTGCCCCCTAGAAGCTCAAGTTTCCTGATCACTTCTCCTTTCACAGTGATGGGGAAGCACCAATTGCATTCAAAACCAAGCTGTGAGCTTGATGGAACAAGTAACAGGGCCTGGCTAGAAATATATCTGTGAGGGCTCCTGGTTTAGATGTGAAGGGATTCTGTTCCAGCAGATACTTATTTTCAGGTCACCATTTGTCTCTCAAATCTCCTGGAGTCTTACAGCATCCTTGGGCACTTCCCCGATTCCCTCTGCTTGAGCCAGAGCACAGCACTTGGAAGAGCAAGAGATCTTGGTGAGTTGCTCCAATAGTTCTCTCCCTTGCTATCAGACTGGCTTTATTCCTGGCCTGAAGGTACCTAGCTTCAATGAGTAAATATTAAATGTCTTTCCCTTGAACAAATGCTACATGAGCAACAGCATCTGTTCCAGACCTGTCACTTTGTTGTACCCAATACCGAAACTACTGTTGTTTTGAAGGTGTCTCGTAATACTATTCCTACAGTAGAATTTCTCCTGCATTATTCTAGTTTGGTTTTCTTCTTTTTTTCCCCATTTCTTCCCAATCCACGCTGTGATACAGTGCTGCCAGCTGAGGAGAAAAGCTCTTCTGTCCTGCTTGCTTCTGTGTCTGCCCTGCTTGAGCAATCCCTGCTGCAGGATGAAGATGCAGGCAGCTCAGAAGACACTTTCCTAGAGCTCAAAACTTGCTGTGATGGAACAAGAGTGTCTGAGACTTTGCAGTGACTTCCAAAGATCACTGTGCCTCCCCAGCCAGCTACCCCACCCTCCTGAGCTCCATCTCCTTCCCTAGCTGCTGGCATAAGCCGTGTGGCACCCAGGGCTCTTTATGTGCTGGCTGCTACCGAGGCCACAGAGCTGGCCCGGGACCTGGAGCTCAGGGGGCGTGGGAGGGTGATGGTGCAGCACGAGACGCCCACGGTGGCCTCAGGGAGGTCCTCGTCCTCAGCCCACTCATTGAGGTCAGGGTTGTAGCACTGCACGCATTTCTGATACCTCTTCCCGCTCTCATTCCAGCCACCCACGAGGCACAAGCGCCCCTCGAGCAGAGCCACCCCGGCCGTGCTGACCCCCGTGGGCAGGGGCGCCACGTAACTCCACTGCCCCGTGAGTGGGCTGTAGCACTCCACAGGCATCACGTCCACCTGCTCGCCCTGGGGACCCAGCTGGCTGCCACCCAGCACGTACGCTCGGTTGGCCACGGTGGCCGCGCAGTGCCAGCCCCTGGGGGTGCTGAGCCTTGCCTGCTCCCTCCAGGCGTCGGTGCTGGGCTCGTAGCAGCGCACGGTGCGGGAATAGGCATGGCTGATGTAGCCACCGGTGACCAGGAGCTTGCCGTCGATGACGGCGGTGGCGTGGCAGCAGCGGGGCGTCTCCAGGCTTGCCTTGCTCTGCCAGCTGTTGGTAGCGGGGACGTAGCACTCAACGGACGCCAACGCGCCCTCGGCGTTGCGCCCTCCGACGGCGTAGAGGAGCCCGTTGCAGGCGCTCAGGCTGAAGTGTGTCCTCCGGTGCTGCATGCTGGCCAGGTGCAGCCAGGTGTTGAAGCGCGGGTCGTACCTGGGGGAGGAAGGGCAGAGCCGTCTGTCCAGGACTAGCGTTAGGGCTGCGGGGAGAAGAGGAGCCTGCCAGACATCTTCCTTCGGAGGAGACAAATTGGGAGGGCCTCTCTGCCTTCTCCAGCAGTACCAAAGCATCTGGACAGGCAGTGCAGATGGAGATGACGGCACTGCACAGGACTGGATCCTACCTGCAACTGCTGGGGTTGTTGCCACTCTAGCCCTTGGGATGGCCCAGCATCGCTCCTGCCACTGCAAGCTCCAGCCTGGCTTGGAAATAGCAATCTGAGGTGTCCCCAAGCACTGTCGGTGTCCCCTCTGTTGGGTCTTGGCAGGTAGAAGAGGACTTAGGGGCAGGTCTTCCCTACCCACCCTGCCAGGCCAAAGACAGGCACGTGGTAAGAAGTCAGCTCCTTGCGTGCCCACGAGATGGCAGAGGGAACTGGAACTGCTGTGTCCCCAGAGCAAGGCCACGAGGACTAAGGCCAGGCTGGGAAAAGTGGATAAGCTACTGGCCAGAAATAGAAGAGACCTGCCAGTGGGTCCCTGAAACCTCACTCGGTGAAGGGGAAGGAGCCCAATGATGGCTCTTAACCGAGGGGTGGTGATCAGAGGGCACAAAGGGCTGGCCTCGAGCAGTGCCGACAACAACTTGCGTGTGGCGCCTCAGGTGGCTGAGCCAAGCCGTGGGCAGAGCTACTGGGAAGTTCAGGTTTAGGTTGCAAACAAAATACTGCGTGTCAGGTTGCCATGGTTACTCCTCCTTTCTTTGAATAGTAATCCTTTGGCAATGCAGTGACAGGTTTATGGGTATTTAGGAAACAAACCTTGTCATTTAAATGATGAAGAGAGAAATGGAGGCGGAGAGAAGAAAGCCTGAGGGGCAACAGGAATCCTACAGACAGTAAATCTACCTTAAAGTGAACGCAGGCAAACCAGAGACTGGGTCGATGCTGGCACTGGCTGGAGGAACAGCCAGCGGGTGAAAAGGGGAGCTACCCCGGGTAACAAAATGAGTAACTGCTAAATAACGAGGGCTCCCATTTCTCCAGGAGCCTCGCAGCTTTGAAGAGGCCCTGCCTTGCCCTCATCCCGCACCAGTGCTGTGTGCTGCTGGAGGACGTGGGCAGCGCAGCCTGGACACCAACATCCCCAGGGAAAGCCCAGGCCGAGGTCACGCAGACCAAATCCCTGGAAGTGGTTTCCAGGTCTTGTGTCTCGCAGTCCAGCACCCTGCGCTGGGCCTCGCTGCGTTTGTCCCTCCCTGGAAGCGTTATCCCGCAGGCCAGACCTACCTCCTGGTTACTGATAGCAAAGGGGAACCTTTCTGACACGCTTGTCCCTCACCCCATGGTGGGTGCTGGGGCACAGGCTGACACAGCTCAGCTCTGACCCCCTCCCCAGGGTCAGGGTGGCCAGGTGGTGCCCGTCTTACCTGCTCAGGCTGCTGACGGCGTGCTTGGCCTGGTTCCTGGCATCGTTTTGGTCTTCACCACCCGCGATGTAGATGAATCCATCCATCACCACCACGCACTGGTTAAAACTTTTTGCTGGCATCTCCGTCAGCTTGTTCCAGTTTCCCTCTGCGTCCCTATAGCTGATCTCCCTGCTAAGGGCCTTCTCGGTCAAAGCGGGACGACCCCCAACTGTGACAAGCACCCTCTGGCCTCCCCGTATCCTGGTTCTCCGCGACTGAAGGCTGTTTTGCTGGTGGGGGAGCAGGTGGTAATTCATAGCATCCACAAGGAGCTTGTGGCACTGCGGATCCTGCATCATGCGTGGCACGGGTTGCACATGGTTGACCAAGTCTGGAGCTGAGATTGTGCCAAATCGAATGTTGCTCAGGAGGTCAGCAGCATACCGGACCCGTTTTGGGTCAAACTCCAGCCACTTGACAGCGATCTGGAAAGCTGCAACCTCACTGGGTATCTGCAGGCCATCATCCATCAGCAGCTCGTTGATCTGATCGAAGGGGAGTTTCATGAACTGATCGGTCTTGGAGAACTCCAGGAAGTTTTCCCGGATGAATTTCCGAGTGGCCTCTTTCACCTGGTTGAGGCCGTAGGTGGCCGAGATGTTGGCGATGTACACGCAGTTCTCCACGGCCATCTCCCGAACGAGGAAGTCACTGCACATGTTCAGCAGCGCCGGCATCTGCAGCTGGGTGGCCGCAGCGACGGTGCTGCTGATGGTGTACAGCGAGAGGCTCAGCTTCCCCGTGTAGGCGTAGGTGATGATGGCGGTCAGGCCCAGTGGGGACACGTCGTGGAGCTCCACGCGGTGCAGCTGAGGGTCTCTCTGCAGCAGGCGGTGGAAGTACTCGCTGCAGGAAGCCAGGACGAGTCTATGGACCTCGAAGGACTTTGTTTTGGTGGCAATGGTGAGATCGCAGAGGAACCGCTTCTGGCGCATCTGGTTCATCCCCTCCAGAAGGCTGGCTCTGTGGTCCGGCGCTTC